TATAAGGTGTCCACCTATGATCTGGTGGGATCCACAGGTCCAGAGCAGCCTAGGAGGTGGGGTGAGCACAGGGGCACAATTCCCTTCTGCAGAGCATTTAAAAAGACTTCCTTATTCCTAACTGGACAGAAACCAAGAATTGCAAATAGTGTAATCCTCCGTGAAAGAGAATTACCTGTGTAGGAACAGTTCTTGTCCTTGTCAGTGGGAGGGAGTAAAGAGTACAAAAATAAAATTAATTACCTAGTGCGATTTCATAGCAAGCATCTTAGGTTTTCCTTTTGCCTTAACAGCCAAATTGTTGTCTTACCATGAACACTGATGACACCACTTAGTTCTCTGTCTCTTAAATCACTTTAAATCACACATCTATCCTGCTACAAAAGGAAAGGAGAATAAATAAAGCTCAGAAAACCAGTCATCCAGTTGATGAAACTTACCATATTTCACCTGTGCAATGTCACCAACTACTATCTCTGCCACTGGGATCTGGATAACCTGCCCACCTCGGACAACAGTAAACTTCTGTTCCTGCTCAATACGACTTTGAAGCCCGCGAAACTGCTTCTCCTTGCTCCAGTCATTGAAGGCAGTGACAAGTACAACACAGATAACAGAGAGGAGGATGGCAGCACCTTCGATCCAGCCTGCTTCAGCCTCACCTTCATCTTCAGCTCCTCCTGTTGCAGTCCCACATCCTGCGGAGAAAACAGTAAGAGTCGTTCAGCCAAGTGAAGATCTGGTTTACCACGTTTATCACAAGAAGAAAAACTTGCTGGGAAATGACAGCAAGGTGAAGGAATAGAATTGCTCGTCGAAGTACTGGCTGCTAAATGAAACGTGGCAGCATAGAGAAGAAGTGGAAATAAAGATGTCTGGGGAAAAGAGAAAGCAAGCAAATCAACAGGAATTGTAGATATTTTAATTTTTCTACTGAACAAGCTCTCCTTGGGAAACCCCAAGTGAACAAATGGAAAAGGCAGCACCAATTCTGTTATCTGACAGAGGGGTCGATGGCTTCACATGAGCCACCAAGCAGCTCCAGAAATCAGGAGGACTTACTAAATTGGCTAGGACTAAAATGACATGAAAGGCAATGACATGAAAGAAAAGAGATTACATTAAAGCAGATTTAAGAAACAATTTCCAATACCATTTCTAAATGTGCTCAGCTAAACATATTTATAAGGAACCTTTGTTTAAAAAATACTGAGATGAACTAAGTATATTAGTATTTAAATGTGATAATGAAACATGTTAGGGAAAACTAATAGCCTAATATTAATTAATCTTAGCCTAATATTAATAGATCTTTCTTCCTTACACAGAAATATAGTGGCATCCTTACAGAACAGTAAGTATATTACTTTTGCCAAGTAAAACAGTGTTAAAAACCACATTTTATGTCTTAATTCTGAAGTGTTAATTCTGAATTGTTTTATACACCTCTCCTAATGACTTAATTCCAAGTAATACGCAATTAAAATCTAAATACATTTCCCAGATAGAATTCACAAAACAAAACTAATACAGCTCTCCTTCTTAATGAATAAGCTGTAAAACCAGCTCATTTCTAACACTGGCCAGCAAAGTCCACAGGGTGGAATCACCCAGTTCAGAGCTATCCCAGCTGACGGGAGAGAAGAGGCTGAACAGCAGAGCCTCCCCTCCTCAGTCACCAAGGGAGACAAGGAGTCTTTTAATTTTTCATGATGAACTGAACTAGGTAGGCATTTGAGATCACTTCTGCATCTTACCAGGTACCAAGGAGTTTAGCAACTTAGCAACCGTGTTGCTTCCATCTACGACTGCAGTTTAATTTTGTCTTATTCATCAGCTGTCACTGGAGGGAACGAACAAGTCATCTGATTTCTAATTTTTTAGTTACAAAGATTTCCCTGCAACACAAGCATCAGAATTCATCAACCAGCTGAGGAATTACTCTTGTGTGTCAACAGTAACAACACTACCAAACGTCAGGGGAAGACAGATGAGAGGGAACGTCACCAGGTGAACAGAAGAAAATGAAAATAAACTGAGTTTTTACTGCATTTTACATTTAGACTCGACCTCACTGAAAAGCACAGCACACTCCCAAGAGAAGGGGTTTTCCTTGCAGGGATCCTCTTGAGACTGATGACCCACATGAACCTTCATCTGCAGCACAAGAACCTCGCTAAAGAAACCAATTTATAGCACCCGAGAAAGGAATGAAGTAACTTTTTTCAAGTTCAGTGCCTTAAGTCACTTAAAACTGGTTGCAAATACAACTCAAACCACATGTTCCACTTCTTCCTTCAGCAGAACGCTACTTCTGGGAAGGACAAATGAACTTTGCTCTGTTTAACCTTAACCATCTTAACTGGTCTATATTAGATGGTTATAGTATATTATTATTATATATCTATTTTAGATTCCTTTTCCAAATTAGCAGATTCACTTTTGCCCTGTTTGGATTAAGTGGTTTCCTGGTAATTCTGTTTTGGCAAATGTAAGACACAAACTCACTCTTCATTCTTCATCAGATACGATTTAGAATCAAGTATCATCAACATCCTATTGTTTTAACCAGCGTACTCCTCTCCTTTCCCACAAAAGGAACAAGCCCTGGTCTAACCACAGCCAACGACTGATTTTGTTTCCTTTTGAGGTGGTTGAAAGTCCAGTACAAAGAGGTGTTGCTTCCTACGGCGACCCCTCAGGCTGGGTTAACTGGCAACAGCACCGTGCAGATCCACATAGAGAAGGGGGCAGCTCAGCTCTTCAGTGGTTTTAGGCATTTCCACTGGGGTGGTATTTATTGCCTTCATTCTGTAATGTGACTTCTTATGCTTCCACTGAAAACCTTTCATCTCTGCATATGGATTACCGATAATTTATACCATCATGTTTACTACAAAATCAAGAATTAACACTATGTGATACTTAAATACAAGTTTTTATTTGTGCTATTAGCATACACCTGAAAAATCAGCCATTTGAAAGGCATGAGCTGTGCTTTGTTCTTCATTACCAGGATCCCACTATTGCTCTGGACACGTGTGAACGTCACAGTAGTATTAGAAGAGCACAATATTCTGTCTCTAAAGCAGAAATCCACCACTTCTGAGAAAGTCATTGCTATTATTCCAAAGACCTGAGAGGGTTGGTCACTGGCTCTGAGATGTGTCAGAGGTAAAAACTAACAGCTCCTCAGTGCATTTGAACCCAGTACTAACACTGTACCTTGAATGCTCTGGAAATCAGTATTTCTGTGCCCCTACAGGAAAAATAAACAGACCAAACCCTCTTGATTCACTAAAAACAGGTAAAAAAAATATAAAAAAATCCCTGACTTGAGTAATGAAATTAATTTTATGTATGTGTTGACAGAACTGATTCCCATGTTAATATACAATATAAACAATCCCATTCCTAGTACGTTCGTATAGCCAGAAAAAACAGTCTAACAAAGCACGTAAATAATACAAGATGTCATCGTGACAAAAGGAATTGTATTTACCTGCCTCATAAGATTATGCACAAGCAAAGAACATAATTCACGATTCATAGTCCGGCTGAAAACAATGTTTGTAAGAATGAAAGAAAATCTGGAGAAAACAGACTGAACTTGGATCAAGCTCGTGGAAAGTGCCTCTGAATTTGACAAGCTTCCACACTAAATAACAATTCGTGATTCTAACTTTCAAAATCCTGAGAAAATTCTCCGTAACCCAATGGGAACGACAAAAGTTGGAATGCATTTCATTGATTTTCTGTTCATTCCATCAGACAATGCTAAATCCAGCTGGAGGAAAGGTATTGAAAGGGGAGGAAGGGATTCTTGGGCGTGAGAGCCAGGAGTAGAGACATTTAATTGACAAATATGGTTTAAAACAGAAGTTAGCCTTTTAGATAGATGGAAGGAATACTGAGTTGCTTTATGGATTTGAGAGTCCTCATCGGGCAGATTCAATCTGGCTTCTATAAAACCACAAGTGTTGCTCCTTATGGTGATCCAGTGGCCCAGGTTACACACGACAAGGTACATCCACCCGCAGAGGTGGGCAGGGGCCATGAAGCAGGCAGCTCCCACTGCTGCGACTCAGTATCACTCACAGTTACAGCAACAAACAGCACTGCCTTATCAGTGTGCTGCAGGTTGGGAGGGAGCACAATTCCAACTCTGCAAGGAGTTTGAGCACAGAGGACTGGATATTTGTGTGACTGCTCTGGTGATCCTGCTCTGGCAGGGGTTGCACTGTGGGAGCTTTCCAGGTCCCTTCCGACTCCTCAGATTCTGGGATTCTGATTCTGTGGCATCTCCAAGTTTAAGCAGCGGCTGAGCAAGGCTTTTGAATATCTACGATTTGCAGGCAGGTACTTGTAACAACGGTTCAGAAATGAAATTGCACTTTTTGTGAATCTAGTCCAACGTAACCAAAACCAGGCTCTTTAAATGATTGACCAAGTCAATCATCAGACTTTCCCAGAATTTTGGTTCTGCCTTTTTTCAGCTCCACGGCAATGAAACGGGATAAAAGTGCTAGAGAAATTAATGCAAAATGTGCACTTTGTTCTCACTATAGGAATAAACTCCACCAACTTCAGCACAGTAAGTAACTACCTAGTTCTTCCAACAGTGACATTTCAGAACACTTTTTTTTAAACAGAGATTTGCAGACAAGCAGGATTTAAAAATGCAACCTGCCCTTCAAGAGACAACCTATCTGTCATGAAACATTTCCTTCATCTATGTTGTGTTCTTGCTTCAGAGCTATTTCAGAAGTAGTCCCTTTTAACAGGAAACAAAGCAGGAAACTTGCATCTCCATTGGTGTGAGTTTGTAGACTGCTTTCTTATGTACTTAAGGAACAATTTTTATTTTTTTACTTCTCTTCTGCCATTATGTCCCACAAATGAATTTACAGGAGGAAACTGCATGTATTCATAGACCCAAAAAACCATACACCTTGTAACTATACACTTATATTCCCTGTCTCCCTTATTGCAGTACACAGAGACACACTATTGACTACAGATAAGGTGAAAACTAGGAATATAAGTAAGACACACAAAAGACTAAATAATAATAATATGCCTAAATAGCAAAATATAGTTTAAAGGATCAGTATTTATCAAGAACGCTCATATATGCTTTAAAAAAAATATGCTAAGGACTAAGATTGCTGCTCTGCTTTCACGAGATGGTCTTTGGTTCCTAGTGTGACTGAAAGGTATGCCTGAGATTTTACTGGAAGCGTCACAAAAGACTTGTTAATATGCATACGTGATTTGTGGTAGGGTTTTATTTTAAGACACTGAATTGTGACGTACTTATTCAACATGGTATTTAACGTAGCATCTATCTGTCAGAAAACGCAATTTCAACAAAGTAAACAAGTTCTTAATACGGAGCTGTTTTCTGCCGTAACTATGAACATATGTTGTGCATGTGTCACTCCTCAAAGCCTCATCCTCATGAGACACAAAATGCATATTCAGTTTGAAACCCAGATTATAACGATTTGACTGTGAGTCAAGAATGCAAAGGGCTGTAACTCCTTTGGCACTGAAAAAGCAGATGAAGTGCTAAAGTGGATTAGCTTATTCCAAAAGGGTGTGCAGGAACACTAGGAGACTGGTGTGATTGTGTCCTCCACGAAACATCTCAAAAGTACATTATCAAAAACCTCACAGCATTTTAAAAGCTTAAAAT